GATAAAACTGGCACAGCACAACAAGTGAACAAATAGTTCGTACCATAATGTTATCGATAGAAACCTTATAAATTATAACCAAAGGACCAATGTTAGGTAGAATTCCTTGCGACGAGAGGTTCAATATACACAGAATACATCACTGAGGTCTTGTGGATACCCGGACAGCGTGCTAAAGAAGTGTGTACAACATCTGATTCAGTCAAATTTCCATATATCGAATTTCTAAGACTACGGCAAAGTCCTAATGATTCCCTTATATTACACGTTTAATGAATCGGATTTCTCTCTTTTTCGAAGTAAACACTCGAAATTAGAACTTATAAGTCGAAGTCAACAATGTACCCGTACGAGAACAATTTAATGTCCCATGGTAATTTCTACACCTTCACGGACATCAAGTGAAAAGTACTGGCGACCATGCTGACACAACTTGGTATGAATGATTTAGTCACTATTGTTACACTTAAATACAGCGGTGTGAAGTATATATGACACAAAGTGATAATCGATAAGCGTTGATCAGTACTCTTCAATCGTAAACATAGGCCAATGTCAAAGAAAATGGTATGTACGAATTGAATGTATGTTTATTGGTTTATGATGCTATAAGCTTAATTGTGTGACTTTTTAAAAATAAAATTGATTGCAATACATAACATTTTCGAAATTAAACGGCCCACGGGAATCACTCTCAGCAACATGGCGCACGTGATAGACCACATCAACACGGAGTTCAGGCTTCGGAAATTTAATTGACAAACAAACTATTTGAATTTGATAATATCACAGCGCAAACTACAGTATGTTAATAAACAGGCTATTATTATTTCTGTAAATGAATATTTATACATTGAAAACTTAATTTCTTCGCTTGAGTTTCGTAACATAAGAATCATTCTCAGTCTCATTTACAGGATTGATCGATGTTCAATATTTGTGAGTCGAAGTCCCGATGTTTCGAATTGTTGCCGAAAGTCCCGCAGGTTCAAAACATCGCAGTTTGACTGTTTATATCAAGATGGTGTCTCATAGATACCTAAATATTAGCATAGCATCTGATGGATATCATTTTCACATTTTTGTCTCTAATAATATACATTTCGCCCATGTAATACAGGTGTTGTTTGCGCTGTCATAGCAGTGCCCGGGCTGATAAACAGTTGTTTACACCAACCCGGGCTAGATATCACTATCCGGGTACTTCACTCCGGATTACAATTTTACGTTTAGACGCTCCGGTTTCCGGCACAGACGATAGCAGCAGCAACAACAACAACATTTGTTAAATTTATTTATTTTTGTCTGATTTTTCGAAAGTATGATAAAAGGGTTATGATGTGACTATTTGATAGCACACCCTTTATCAGCCCTTGACCTGATATCAGACCTCAGGCCTGCAGCACTCGGGCAAATATCATGGTCTCGGGCTGATAAAGGTCCTGATATCAAACCGTCATATACTTACCTCTAAGGACAGCATCTGAAAGTCGGATATCAGATCAATAGCCTTAAGATAACAAAAAAAAATCGTAAAAGACTACTTTTCGAATACATTTCATTTCTTACTTATATTAGTATTTACAATAGACAATAGGATAATGTTTGATGGATGTTTGGATGACGTCTTTTATCATGAACTTCATATAAAGCACGTGATTTTTGTATTTTCGATTATAAAATAATTTAATCACCCTCGCCCAATTTGACATCACATCTTTGGTAGATATCCGTATTTGCCCTGACAGCGTTATATATGTTTTATCTCTAGCCTTGTATGATAAAGTGTAGCAACCGATAAATCAACGTAGATAGAAGTTGATCCAGGCAGACGACATGCAACAGGGGAGAAACAATGGATTATCTGGCGTCCACAACTCTGGATTAGACTCGACGACGAGATCGGTAAAAAGACACGTGTCTGAGAAGGTGGTAATCAATGGGAGAAAGGTCAACGACAGTTTTAGGGAAACTACAGCTGTTCAATTACTTAATTATAAAGCAATGTTTGTATACCAGTGCTTATCTGGACAAAAAAATGTTCAGTCTGTCTACAATTATGGTTCTGCTTACATCTTTTGCCCACAAAAGGGAATGTTTAGTATTGCCACTAATCGTAGGTTGGGTCATTCAATTGATATTGGGAGGACTCATCCATGAGTATCGTAGAGAGTAATAAGTAGGGATATCCATGTTTTAGTTTAAACATATTTTATTGTACAAATATACAAATGGATCGGACAACAAGTTATTACAACTTAATAGAGTCCTCTCCTCAATACATATTGTAAAAATAGTGTATATGGTTTTTGGGAAAGGGAAAAAGATAGGTTGGGGAAGGAAATGTGAGGTGGGAGGGGGTGGGGGTGATGAAGGGGAGGGGTGTTACCTATAAAAGTAAACGTGTAAATTGAGAAATCGATCCGCATTTGAATAAATTATAAATTATACAGATTTCATGACATGCATCCTGGTAGAGTAATTTTAAAATGAACAGAATCAATGTAACAAATAAATCAGGCAAAATAAAGAAATACAATTTCATAAACACATATAACAACTTACACATAAATAAAAATAGAAAAGTAATTATAACTATCAAAACCTATTGCTGGATTTGAGGCTATGATGCACATGTCTAAAGGATACCCATGATATGACAAGTGATAGTTGGTTAACAATACAACATTATACGGATTCTGAAAAACTGTTAGGAATGTAGAACAAGTCACTCCAATGCTTTAAAGTTTTACATCTGAATGACTATTTATCCTAATTTCTTAAATATATCGATGTTTTTTAGAAATGAGCAAGACCGCACACTACAGTGGAAACATTATTGTCAACATTAGTCGTTCCAATGCACGCGGAAGTGATTATCGACTTCGTAAAAGGCACAGGGTTGTTGATCAGACTGACAATTTAGTACAGCACTGACTTGTTCTTTTTCAGCGTATAATCACATTACAAAAGGGTTTTGAACTAAATGTAATTGAAAGAAAAATGAAAACTTCTGTACTTGTGTCATACATTTCTTGTTTGTGTAAAAAACAGAAATATACAGGACGTAGAATATGACATGAGTTAAATTCCCATCTTTGAATCAGCCCTCGAGCCGTAACAGCCTTCGTCCTTATATTTGGTTCTCCGGCTAAATGATAAGGAATATGTTACAGTTATGTGATATGATTTATATGTATATATTAGATATGATGTCGCGATAACTTCCAGCGCTATCAGAATAACGCGCCAGATATACATCAGGAAATATCGATTTCATAGCTAATTTGCATTATTATGAACATTTTGAATTAACGAGTAAATAACACAGGTATGTTCCTTGATATGATATATTATAACGTCGATCAAGGACACACAAGGGGGATAACTCGTCAATGCAGCATTATATTCAAATTATAGGAAACGGGCAACCGAACTTCCAGCAACATTGTTCTTTTCAAATACATTTTGTATTAAGTGTGAAGTCGTTAAACGTTTCCCATTAAATGTACATAACTATCCTAGGCGTACAGCTTTTTATGTCAGAGCATTTAAACCCATACAGTTCTCTTGCCTTTGCCAAACTTGCTTTTCAAGACAAATCTAATTTGCTGTAGTTAAATTTAGCACTTGACAATGATCCTGCAGTGCAACTACAGGAATATTGAGGAAATTATAACAAAACCTGAGGCTGACTAGAATACTATTAAGAACCCATTTGAACGACGTTACATTTATATAGTACAGTGGGGTATCGTTAGCTTATACTTCAAAAGGTACAAAATAGAAGCAATGTCTCCGCACGTTATATAAATCCATGTTATACTCCAGTGTATTCCTCGCGCATTTTCGTAATTTCAACTTTTCTTTCGCGGTGTAGAAATGTTCGTGTCGACAATATTAATGTTTCCGTTATATATATATATACATAACGAATGTTCTCACTTTCATGTAATCCTGGTGATTTATTTACCTCAAAGTTAGTGAAAGTCCCACACTGAATATCATTTTAAGTTTATAGATTTGTTATCTACTCATCTAATTTTAATAATTCATATAAGGCTTAAACGTTCCCGCCACTTTGTTTCAACAGTAGTTTAGACAAGTTGAATTTCTATTTGTTTGGCTCTTAGCTTCACTGATGAGTCCTTAAGGGACGAATAGGATGTATCATGCAGTAACATTTATTTTTCGGCATACTGTATCTTTAACCAAATTATTTAGGTGATATCACCTGTGTGTGTGGGTGTGTGTGTGTTACCTCCATCTTATAATCGTATGCAGAATGAATTGTATCCTGTAATTCATAACGAATCACAAAAAAATGTCACATTTCTTTCAAAATTTCACTACTGTGGGTACATAAATGTATATTCTCAGTTTGCATAGGAAACCCGTCAACGCCACGTTCACGTATCACAATAGTAGGAAAATGCAGCCAGAATCGAAACGGAACACGAGACCTCCACAGTATTAGACAGGCGTTCTCACAAGGTCGGTACCGATGATCGACCCAGTTCAGACTCGCTACTAATATGTTTTTTAAATCCTTTTAACAGGACGTAAACAACTAGAAACACACGGGAATGTCAACAAACGAGGACATATCAAAGACCTGCATTCGGGATTGTTTTTACCAAGTGTTGATCTAAACCCCTAAAATGTGTAAAAGGAATAATAATCCTCAAACACAACGTTTAAGACTAATCATATCCTGTAACTATCTGTTTAAGTCAATGTATGCGATATACTCTTTACATTAGATTTTGAATGGAATGTTTAACTAAATTAAATTATTCATGTAACAGACATATGGACAGACATGTACGCATTCTTGAATTTTAGACCGAACATTTCCGTTCTCTAAAACGGGGGGAGGGGCTCTTTGAAACGAAACATAATTAAACTGTAAAAATAAAGATAATCAGATCTGGCTATACATTAGTTTAAATGGACGTTTGAGAGACTGGAGTGTTCTGTCTAACGTAGGTTTTACTCACATCGCCTCTAGACTGACACAGACACATTCCATCTATACAATCCCCGTGTCCCGAGCAGACAGAGTTGGCTCCCCTGTCAAATGATAGAAATAGCAATTACAAAAAAGATCAATCACAAGAACAAATGCCGTTTTACATAGAAATAGATAACGTTATTGATTCTTACATAAAACGTGAGAACAGACAGGGTTATTGATAACATAATGATACAAAATAATATTCTATCGGTTTTTTTATGAAGGGATGGTGTAACATGTATTTTTTTGTTTGACACCTCTGTGACTTTGCTTTCATGTATGGAGCAGTTGTAGAAAAGCAGTAGATATGAAGCTGGCAAATGAAAGGGAAAAGTATCGATAACAATCGAATGGGAACCCATAGATCTTTAACGCAATTGTCAATATATAAGATATCTTTGTCATTTTCTTGTTTTACATAACATGTAGTAATAAGAGTTTTTTTTAAATATACAGCAGTAGATTAAAGCAGGAAAATGAAAGAGAAAAACAGCGATAACAATCGAATGGAAAGCTATAGAGCCACATGTATACGCTGTTCTCTAAATTTTAGGTGACTGTACAATTTTCGTGCTATCTTATACTGAAAATCGTGCTGTAACTTAGGGTTTTTACAAAGGTAAGCAGTAGATAGTAGATACATTTTTGCCCCGGTATATCCGGATTTTCACCTCCTTAATTTGTTTAACGATATCTTATTGTATCAAATGCGCAAAAACTAAGGCAAACGTTTGACCGAAAGTAGATTTTTGGGGAACCAAAAGGGATACGGTAAATCACCAAAATAATTTGCTGTTTTCTAAATGAGCTTAAACAATCCACTGACTTAATCCTCCGTTTTATTTTGATAATCTTTAAGTGGCGATCGAATTTCTGTCATTTTTCATCCTTATATATATGCCTGTTTAATTTACACATGCATCCAAAAACAGAAATGGGATTATTTTGGCTGTTTTAGCATATTTTGAAATAAAAATTGAGTACTGTGGTGGCTGTTTCACATCCTTTTTTTGAAATATGCGTTACAACATAATATCATCGAATATGAAATCTTGAAATAAATAAAAGGACATTTTTAATTGCTGAGCTGAATCAATTTAAGAGAAGGAAAACGAGATAACAAAAAACAACAAAAAGGCAAAAAACATGAAAAAGTATTAATTTCTTGTTTCTGTTTTTAGAAGACGTTTATGACGTGCAATAGGATCTGGCTTTCTATCTGTATCCTAATCCATTAAGGACTTTTGTCGATGTAGTTACGCTGTTATATGAAACTGTAGTTACGTTTTTATATGAAACTGACAGAATGATATAAAAATGAGCAATTGAGACAAAAAAATAAAAAAATCCGAAGAGGTGCGATGAGCGCAACATTTATCAAATAGCCAATGTCCCCGTAGCATGAGACACAGGGGAAGCATGCTTGTAGGTCCTCGGTCGATATCACTCTATCTGTTTGATATAACGAAGTACCAGACTCGACAAAAGTCCTTAATTGTTATATTACATATTATGTCATGATATATTACATATGTAAATAGTAAGAATCAATGGGTGGTTTATGGTAGGAAATATCCGGATCATAATTTAGAAACATGATGTCGCTATGGTTACGTGTAAGACAAAAATAGAAATATAGGGTCTATTTAATAATAATGATATTATAATAAACAATATTTATATAGCGCCCTATATTATTTATAAAATTATTCTAAAGCACTTTACAACACATGGATAATAGTCTTAGTGAAAATAGATAACATAAAAGGCAAACAAATCACCTTTTAACATTACGTATGGAGATATTAATCTCAATATGTATATACATAAATATATAAGGGTGATGTGTACATGACGTCTGTGCAAAGAGCCTAAAATGCAGCAGTGAAGAGGTGGGTCTTTATACCTTCTTACATTTGGCCAGGGTTTAGACTTCCGGGTAGCAGATGGTAAGCCACTACTCAACAACGTGGCCGAAACCCTCCCAAAGCACCGGTTTTCATAGGTCACTGTACGAGATTTTGGGACACAATAATTCCGTCTCCGACCGCAGTGATCGTGACGGTGGATATACTATATATTGGCGAACCTTAGACCAAGGATTAGTCAATCAGAATTAAAAAAACATACCATAATATGTAATATTGTTAATAATACTTACGAAGCTTTACATTGGTCTATCTCTCTTAACGAGCAGTTGACACCTATATACCCTTGATCGCAGACACACATACCCATGTTTAGTGTACCGTGCCCATGACAAGGAGGAGTCTAAACAAAAAGAAAAAAAACATTTATATCTTCAAAATCAATAAACGTGCTATTTTTTAAACAAAATTGCTATGAAACATATTACGAAATCGTCATGGTACATCAGTCTTCTCACCTTATTAACCAGGGATTTTTTGGATAAGATGGGAACCGTTTTTACGATTCAAATAATTTCAATATAGACCAGATAGTTGAGAAAGTTGAGATACATTTGACAAAATCATATATATCCGTTGTAAATTTCATGCTCAACTGTGGTGGACTTAAAAAGAAGAATCAATGTAAGGTCATGATGACAGATTCTAGAGCAGGATTGTATCAGAACTACAAAAATGTCATGTTTACTAGAGCGGGGTTGTATTAGAACTACAAAAATGTCATGTTTGCTAGAGCGGGGTTGTATCAGACCTACAAAAATGTTATGTTTACCAGAGCGGGGTTGTATCAGAACTGCAAAAATGTTATGTTAACTGGAGCGGGGTTCTATCAGAACTACACAAATATTATATTTACTACACCGGGATTGTATCAGAACCACAAAAACGTTATGTTTACTAGAGCGTGGTTGTATTAGAACAACACAAATGTCATGTTTACTAGAGCGGGGTTGTATCAGAACTACAACAATGTCATGTTTACTAGAGCGGGATTGTATTAGAACTACAAAAATGTAATGTTTACTAGAGCGGGGTTT